TTCTCCTTGCAAAGATGACAGTAGCAACTATCAACCTCTTTTGCGAGTAAGTACTGTGAAAAGGCCGAACATGCAATGGTTTTGTGGACAGTTAATAAGATCTAACGGTCTCTCAAAATCAGTTCTACACTGCTCAGTAGAGGGAAAGATGAGGATAGGCGGACCAAAAAAGACATGACTGACTAGACAGGCCTCAGGCAAGCAGCCGTGAAGTCCATTGCCTGTGACCGTCAAAGGTGGATCAGACAGTCAACATAAACTGGTGACCCAAAGACAAGCAGTGTTACAGGATGATGATGATGATGAAACACAGTAAACAAGAAACCGATAAAGTCTTAAACATAACACAAAGATCGCTTTCCTATTTCCCAAGAAACACGGCGAATGTGAGCGGGAATTAAATTATAGCCCCTTTTTAATGAAATATTAGATTCTTCTATCGTGATTAAATGATGTCTGGGAAAGAGGAGCCCGTTCTTCGACAAAGCATGTTCAGAAAACGTGTTTCAGGAAACCGATCTGATTCTAGAGAACGTGTCCTCTTTCAGTAAAGAAAAATAATGCCCTGTCCCACAATCAATGAATTGCTTCAAGACATGATCAAAAAACAAACTTGTATTAAACGAGTATTCCAAGACGTGGAGCCAAATTCTGAATCCGTTCCATCTAAAAAAAAAAAAAAATCAGAAATAGTGGGAATTCAACGGGGTGTTTTCATTTAACCTCACTGACCCTTTTACAGACTGCAGCGCTATTCACATTGCTCGATGACAAAGACAGGATAGCTATCAGCGCTCCCAGAGCGCCACAGGCTGCAGGACACACCGAACAAGAGCCGCCGTCATGAAATCTGACTTGATTAAGTTGAGGAAAGGAGGTTGTAAGCTGGGGCGGGACCCGGGGATGACTTCTGCTTTGTTTCACACGCCACTCACAGCTGACCGTGGGCAAGCAGCCGTAGCTGGGTTGTGTAACTAGTTTTCTTCTCTGTCACCGGCGGCATGCTTCCTCTAAAACCTTAAACAAAATTCACTGCAGGAATTTCCGCTTTGTTGACACTGAAGGAATATGGCCGCTCTGGCATCTACAAGAGGAGTCGCTGTGTTGTAGCGGCTAGACGCTCGTCCTTGTTTCGGACCCTCATAAATGACCTTGGCTCCCCAGCCATGAGTGGGTGCCAGGTAAAGTCCAAGGAAAGTGAAGGCGGCCGGCGTGATGCTGACCACACACATGTCAATCCTACGGACACTTTGAGATGTTAATTCTACGTACATAATTGAGATGTTAATTCCACGCACATCCTAGAGATGTAAATTCTACGGACATCCTTCAGATGGTAATTGAACCGACATCCTTGAGATGTAAATCCTACGGACATCCTAGAGATGTAAATCCTACGGACATCCTAGAGATGTTAATTCCATGGACATCCTAGAGATGTTAATTCCACGGGTATCCTAGAGATGTTAATTCCACGGACATCCTAGAGATGTTAATTCCACGGGTATCCTAGAGATGTTAATTCCACGGGTATCCTAGAGATGTTAATTCCACGGGTATCCTAGAGATGTTAATTCCACGGGTATCCTAGAGATGTTAATTCCACGGGTATCATAG